TGTTTTTTTGATTTTCATACACACTCTCTCTCACACACACAGGTATTTTGAAATTGTAAATGTTTTTTTTTTGTTCGTTCGTTTGTTTGTTAACAATTTTGTCGATGTACTTCATTAAATTTCAATTCAATTTTGATTTTGATTATCGTCTCATTTGAATTGTTCTGGTAAAAAAAAGCAGAAGAAGAAGAAGAAGATGACAATGAACTTAATTAATATTGTTTTTTTTTTCATTATTGTTATTTGATTTACCAAACAAAATAAACTAAATTTTCTCTGTTCATAATCTATATCAGGGGTGGCCAAGCTCACCCTCCTCACCCTCGATTTTTGAATTATAGAAGTGTGGCTCGCGAGCCACATGCGGCTCGCGAGCCGCAGTTTGGCCAGCTCTGATCTATATGTTTCTTTGTAAAAATTGAGTGAGAAAAAAAAACCTGTTAAATAATTTGACAATTTAATCCAAGATGTCAAAAACATTTTCTTCTTTTACTTTAATTGACCCATTTGTTGAAACCATTTTTTTCATTTGAAACAACAACAACAACAAAAAATGAATGCTCAATTTTCAATTACTTATATTATGACAAATATTATCATATCAAATTTCGATACAGAGAGAAATGAACGAAAATTTTCACAACTGCAAATATTTTTCTATCGACATTCACACATCGACAGGACAAATTTTGAATTAAGAAGAAGAAGAAGAGAAAATTCCCATAATTCATTTTTTAATATTCCAATGAAAATGATAATGATGATAATGATTGCCAGTTGGATGATATTAAACTTTAATTGGTTTACCATCATTCACTATCTTTGAGAATCGTGATATCGATTTAACAATTTTTGTTTTCCTGGTAAAAAAAATGAAAAATATTTCATTTCAATGTGCATTATTTTCGTTTTGTTTTTTTCATTTTTTCGATGACATAAATTTTATTCGCTTCGCTGAAATCATTTATGATGTCTGTTGTTTTTTTTTATATTTTTGTTCACATTTTACCAATGATAATAATACTTTAACAATATTGCTACATTGCAAATTTTTTTCTTCTTGATTCCTTCGTTCCATCATGAACATGTTTTGTGTACCGTGACTAAACTGCATACAAACAGAATGCGTTTAAAGTTTGGTCCGAATATTTTATTGACCGGAATTTTTTCTTTTTTTTTTTTGTAATCTAAGATTGAAAAACTTGGTTCCAACTAATGCTATTCTTTGATATTCAATATCGACTATGTTGTGTTTTTAGATAAGAATTTGATTCTAGTATTCAAGTGCAAGTACACAAACAAACAAAATAAGATGTATATCAATACACACACACACACACACACAAACATTATTGATTAATCTTTTCATTCGTCGATTTTTTTTCCAATAAAATGATTTCATTTTCTGATCTTTATTCTATACTTTTTTCATTCATTCATTCGTTTCGTTTCGTTTCGTTTCATTTCGTTTTTGTCCAAAATTAATCTCATCAAATGCCAGATGATGGCTGATGATTTTGGTGATGGTGGTTGTTGTTGTTGTTGTGCAACTATTCTCCATTATTACGATTTATATTTTCATCTTCTCATCATAATGTTTCAATTGAAATCTACTTTTTTCTCAAATGTTTATCCTACACATACACTTATTGGAAGAAAGGGATTTTTTTTCTTCATAAAAAAAATGTTAAAAGAAAATAATAATGTTGATCTCGATGAATGAAGAGATGATTGTCGTCATCATCATCGTCGTCGATATTATCAATCGATGTAATTATTTTCCATTTCAACTTTTTTTCGTACATGTTTTTTTTTGTTGTTGTTGTGTAAATAGGCATCGATTTTTTTTCGCCCAATTTTCGTTATTTGAAATCAAAAAAATCTTTTCGATTCGTATCCTTATTTTGGTCCACATCCCAAAAAAACATTGTTTTAATGACGATCAATTGTTGTTGTTTTTTTGCTTATTTTCATCATTCGTCTTATTTATTATTTTCATCTTAAAGGATGTTTTTTTTGTTTTTGTTTTTATCTTTTAGCATCCCGTTCTTGTTTTTTCGTTCAAAATAATAATAATAATGTACACATTCATCCTATTATAACGTACAAGAAGAAGAGAAAAACTTTTCATTTGATTGAAGAATGATGATCGATTCACTCGAATGACAATAAAAAACAACAGCAAAAAAAAGTTTTTTGGATTGAAAAACTTTTCTTTTTTTTTGTTTTGATTCTAAGTAAATATTTTCATATGTTTGAAAATTGGTCAAAAAGTTAAAAAGCCACAAGAAAAAAAAAACAAGATAACGATAATAGTTTTATCAAATATTATTCATCATCATTATTTTGATGATGATGATGAAAAAATTATTGGCCACAAATACTTTTTGTTTTTGAAATATTGAAAAAAACCAATAACATCGAAATCCATCGATAACACATATTTATTTATTTATGAAATGATAATGATTTTGCTTCCATATTTGATGAAGATTTATTTGTTTATAATTGAGCTAAATCTTTTTTCTCTTTATTTGTTATAAAATTCTATCGTTTGAAAGTCGTGTGTCCTGATTGTTTTCAAAGTTGTAAAGATGAAATGAAATGAAATGAAGAAAAAATTGATTGACATCGATCTTTTCAATGGTTTGATTGTTGTTGTTGGCCTGTAATATAATGATAATGCAGTGCAGTAATTTTTTCCATATATATTCGAAAAACAAAAACAAAAAAATCGAAACGAAACGAAATCTTTCGTGATTTTCTTCATCATTCCAATTCAATTCATTTTATCGTTTGTTTTACCATTCATTTACCACCACCCCCTTTTCCATACATCAATAGATAGCAAAAAATAAAATCGATCGAAATAATACTCTCGATTGACATTAGTAATGTGTTCGAATACTATATTTATTATCAGATTCATATTATTCTTATGTATTCATATGAAAGCATTCAAAAAAAACAGGTCACTTATTTTTTTCTATCAATTTTAATCTGATGTATTCGTCAGAAAGCAAAGAGAGAGGGAAAAAGAAATGGTAATAAATTTCTTCCATACACCTGGGTGCCTTGTTGTGTCAATTGTTTTTTTTCTGTTGTTATATTCATGATTGGCTTTTTTTGTTGTTGTTGTTGTCGTTAATATTGTAACCCGAACACCAATATTACCGCAACAAATGACGAAAAACAACAGAAAAAAAATAGAAAATCTTGTAGATTGGAAAAAAATCAACCATGCTGAACCAATGGCAAATCATCATTTCAAATCATTTTTTTTCCATCAATTCTCTTTTTTTTTCTTTCGAAATTGATGAAAATAAAAAACTGAATCGATTCAAGTATTATTAGATATTCTTCATTTGTGTTTTATTTTCGTTTTGATTTGAATGTATGACCTTAAAACATTAAAAGGTCATAGTTTATTTATTTATTTTTTGTTGGTTGATCCATTCAAACTTATATTAGACATGCAGTAGAAAAAAAGGATTGAATGGTTTATCGATATTTTATTTATATATTTAGACATCAATATGTGCAAACATTGAATTTCATGTGAGTACACAAATATCAAATTCGTGTGTGTTTATGTGTTTTGGAAAATTCTTTCCTTTCCTTTTTCTTGCCATCATGTTTTCCTTGTCCTGTTTGTTATTTTAATCATGTTCAATCATATTCACGTTCCAGATGCATTGAATGTGATTTTTTTTTCTTCTTATTCTTGGTTTACAATTGTTATGGTTATTGAAAATCACAGTGGATATGTGAGCGAGTAAGTGAGTGAAAGAAAAATGAATTTTATTCATGTTCATAACAGAAAAATAATGAAATTATTAAATTTGTCTTATTTTATTCTTGTACGTTCTCTTTTTCATTTGGGCACCCTGTTGTAATGTTACAATAACATTCAAACAAAATTTTTTTTTGCGTTTAGAATCTAAATTGCTTATAATTTTTAAATCTTTCCATCTTTCATACATACTTCATGCTTTTTTTTTGTTCAACAAATAAAAATCACTATGAAATTTATTCTTTCTTTTTTTTGTTGATTCTTTCTAAAAATTTCCATTTTTAACAATTTCCCTTGTTTGAGTTTTGTGTTTGGCTTTCTGAATTTTTCATTCTGGAATTTGTTTTTTTTTCTCGTAGTTTATTTTTTCAAATATCTTTCAGTGTACATTTACCCAAATAATGTTATGAATTTGTTTTCATTTTTTCGTTGTTGTCATTTATAAAGAAAGAATGATGCAAACATGAAAACAAATCCCAAACAAAAATTTTTTTTCTTCTATATTTTACTTTTTATTGAACATTTACTATGTTGTTGTTCTATTTATCAAAAATCTTAAAGAAAAATGAATTTGTTTTTCCTTTCTTTCTTTAAAAAAAAGGAAAAAAAGGATTTCAATTGAATCAAACGAATGAAAAAGAAAATTTGTCGATCATTCGTATTGATTCAAAGAATAAAATGAAAAACCTAAATTCAACATTGATTTATAAGGAAAACATTTCAATTCTATTTTTCAATTCTCTTTCTTCGTTTTGCTTTGCTTTGATTTGAAAATTTATTCCGACATAGAAAAATAACCCCAATTCACCCCAAAAAGAAGAAAGTTCTCGTTTTCTTTTTCGTTTGTTATTACATTTTATTTTTGGAAAATGTTTGTTGAAGTGAATTTGATTTGGAGAAATTCTTATTTTTGCATTCAAAATCAAAGAATTGTTGATTCTTGATGATGATGATGATTGTAAACATGAAAAATTTGATTCATCAGTCAAAAAGAAAATCAATCTTATTTGTCATCATCATTTCATTGAAAATCTAATCAAATTTAAAGCAAAAGAATTATTCCATTCAAATCTTGATTTATTTTATTTTATTACATTACATTTTTGTTTATTTATTGACTGAGAGTTATTATTTTTGTGACACGTTTAATCCATAGTTGAGAAAAAAATGTCTAATTTTATTCGTTTTCTTTTTCTTTCTTTTACAGAATTTATTGCTGATCACATACATATCATCAATTGGTAAAGAGCATCGAGCAACAAAATTCCCGTTATCATCCAACATCCTTTTACTATTATCATCATCTTTGTTTTGTTTGTGTGTCGTGTGTTTGTGTTCGTTTTGTGTGTATTATCAATTCTATGTTTGATTCACATATCATTCATATTTGTTTTTGTTTCAATCAAACCGATCAAACATCATTTTTTTTGTTTCATCTTTATAGCCAAATTCAAAAAATAAATAGAAAACAAAAACAGAATAACAAACAAACAACCTACGACAATTGATGACGACATCAAATTTTATCACTGAAAAAAATTTGAGCAAAACGTATGTATCACAATTTTTCCCGTTGATATGGCCTAAATGTTTCATTATGAAAACACACAATTTACAAAAATAAAAAACATTGTGAAACAATGAATATAACACATTTGATTTGATCGATTATCCATAAGAAAAAATATCAGAAATCTTTGGATATTTTTCTCATTTCTGTTTGTTTGTTTTTCTTTATATTCTGTGTGTGTGTTTGCAATCAGAATAATTCAACAAAACTAACACACACACATTTATATGATATTTCATATATAAATAATCGATTTTCAATTCATGATTCGTTTACATATTATTAGTATTTTTTTCTGGTCATGATTCTTTTTGATGATTCTTTGATTCGGTTTTCTTTTTAGCTTCATTCATATATGATGCTGACTCGACAGAAATCTTTTTTGGCTTTTCTCTTTTCTCGTTTTTGATTATTTACACATAGACACAACAAACACACAAACACACATAAATGGAAAATGTTTCTAGATGAGAATTCGAAAGAAATTTTGATGAAGACGATGATGATCTGAATGAATGAATGAAAGTGAAGAAAAATTTACTCGTAAACAAAAACAAAAAACTACTCTAGGGTGATGAACTTTATTATTTAGGTTTTTGTGGAATGATTTCATTATATATGCATGCATTGAATTATATCATCATCATCATCTTATTCAATGAACACAATTGGAATCACTAATTAATGTCCAATCAACCAGTAAAGTGTTTCTTCTGTTTCTTTATTTCTGCATAAAAAATTATCTTGTTCCGTCAATGGATTTGTTCTGCATATGTTTTTTTTCAAGCCCAATTAGATTTTCATATGATTATTGTCCGTGTATGGGATAATTGGATAAATGGTTCGTTATTTTTTGAAAATTTTGGCCACCACATGTCAAACAAGTGTTTTGATTGATTTTTTTCCTGTTCTAATATTCTAGAAAGAAATTCTGTCAACAAAATTTAGGAAAATTATGATTCATCAATCTATTTTCAGGTTTTTTTTTTGATTTTTTCTTGCCAAAACCGAAAAAAAAGTTGATAATTATTTCCTATTTTTGTTTTATTAGTCAAATTTAAATTTTGCATCAAGAGTTTGATTTTCTTCATCACCATCATTTGTTTGATTTATGTTCTTTTCGCCATCAAATTCAGTTGAAATGATGGCTTCGAAATGAGAATATTCTTATTATTTGATGACAAATTTTTTCCTGTTTCTTTTTTTTTGTGTGTGTGTGTGGTAATAAAATTCTTATTTGAAGTCAAATTTGTTGAATACTATTCTGTATACAGCAATTGAAATAAATGAATTACAGATTTTTATTTACACAAAAATAGTAACAAAAAAGAAGAAGGTACCTCTCTCTCATTCGCAATCATGATTTCTCAATTGTTTTTTTTTGAAAGAAATTGTCATCATCGTTCAGTGTAAAACAACATTAACGATGACAACAACGGAAAAAAATTTTACGAGTTTGTTTATTATCTGTTAATTTTTACTTTCATCTTTTTTTTTCATTCTTCTTTCAATTCATCTTCATTTGTCGTTTTTAGTTTCATTTTATTTTATCATTTCTAAATTGTGAAAAAAAATTCTTTCAGTTCTGGTCGAATGAATGGTCTATGATAGTTTTTACCTTGTTTGTTTCCTACTATCGTTGAATTCTGATACTGACCTTTTGTTCTCATTCATCTATTTCTTTCTCTCGTTTATCTATTTTCATTCTATTCTTTTTTCCTTCATCCTTTTTATCATCATTCTATTTTAATTAGCCTAATTATTTGTCATTTGTTTGTTTGTTTGATGTTCACAACTTTTATAATCTTTTGTCAATAGTTTGTCTGTCATGATGTTGATAATGATAATGAATGAATCTCTCTTTTTTTTCTAGTTTTGATTGTTATTCACAACATTTTTTCCATTTCATCATTATCTCACAATGGTTAATTTTTGTTTTCACCCAACCTTCTAATTATGAATGAATTTGTAAAAATTTGAATTCTACAGTAATGAATCGATTTAGCATTTCCAAATTATAAATATATTCGTGAATTTAAACACCTGAATATATTAAAAGTCATTAAAATGAAGAATATCATTCATTTTTGGTAGACGAAAAAAAAATTCCATTACATTCGTTATAAATGAATCGAGGCGAAATTTTTCAGAAAAAAAAAATCTTTTTTTTCCAAAAACTTTATTACAAGTTTCCATCATTTTCTTCATTTCTCCATTTTTTTTTGCTGACAAAATTTAAAATTTTCAAAATAAAATGAAACATTTTAAATTGTCACCAATAGTTCAGTTAAGTCAATTGGTAGTTTTTATTTGCATAATTTCATCTGAAAAAAATAATGGCTTCAACGAAAAAAAAACACCAACAATATTATTATTCGATCGATATACAATATGAATTTTTTTTTCCATTTCTGATTGCCATGATGACACAATTTCAACTCGAAAGTTTCCCTTTTGGTTCATTTTTCTTCACAAAATCCAAATATTCATTATATTTTCACTCAATTTGATTGGAAATTTTTATTTGAAGGTTCACATAGATTATTTGTTTGTTTGTTTTTTTTTGTTGCATACCATCGTATCTGGTGTGTGTGTTTTTTTTTCATTTCCGCATATATTTTACCACCGATTAATAATATTATTATTTAAGATTTATGAGATTTTTTTTTCTTCTTCAAACCTGACATCATTTTTTCTCTACAAGCAACATATATACAAAGTGTTTGATTTTATTATCTATAGAATTTTCACTATTTCTTTGTGTGTGTGTGTTTGTGTGTGTTCACCCTTATCTGATATTAAACATGAATATATTGGTCGTCTTCGTTTTTCATTAGAATAAAAACCATATATCTAAGAGTATCTGTTTATTTGTGTGTGATAAGAATCTTGGTAAAAGACACGCGTCCAACATTTTTCCATATACACGAGCTAGTCAAGTATAGATTCTTCTTTTTTTTCCCATTTTTGTTGTTGTTGTTGCTGTCTGAAGTAAGTGCCAATCCATGATACATATTATTGCTGATGCATGTTCTTCAGAATCTACAAAAGAGAGAAAGAAAACAGAACATGTTATTAATGGGACCACTATTAATCATTGTCTCTTTCTTATTTTTTGTTTTTTTTTGTTCTGTTTTTCGTTATGCAACATCTATTTGAATGGGTAACAAAAAGTAACTTACCATCATTACTCTGTTTAACTCTTTCTCTTTAGATTCAATGTATAATAAGAATATGTTTATATATGGAAATCATTATTCATCGTATATAGATTCTTTATATTGGTCTCTCTAATGTTCTAATAGTATTTGATATGTCTATGATTTCTAATCAAAACAACAACGACAAAAATCTTCGATATAGAATTGGATAGATGGATTGATAATGATGATGAAGGTAAACAAACAGGAATATATTTTTTTTCATTTACATTCAACAATTTTGATGAAATTTTTTTATCTACTTTCTCATCTTATAAACATTGAATGAATTTAACTTTTCTGTGTTACTATGTAACAACAATAACAACAATGGTATGTTTGTATAAATAAAATATGAATCAATATATAGCGTAGAAAGATTCAGAGTTTTGAAAAGCTTACTTATTTTTGATCCATTTTGTACATGATAATCATTACATGGCTATCATATAATCATAGTATGTTGTTTTATTTCCAGACAATAATTAATTTATATCTTTGAAATTTTCATTATAAATGGACAAAATGTTTTTTTTTGCTTCAAAAAAATTCCCATTTTCATTTCTACAGTTGAATCAATCATCAAATGACCATGTAATATGTTTTTTATTTTGTGGTTTTCTGTGTTTATTTTTTTTCACTACGAATCATATTTCAAATCAATAACATGGCAATGAAATCTTGTTTTGCTCCGTTATTTTTAGACAGACTATTCAAAACAATCAGACTGTAAAAAAACAAAATCAAATTGATTCTATTTGATTTCTCGTTAAAATAATGAATTCTTTATATCCGGTTTCATAGAACACAATGTTTGGCCATGTCAAAAAACAAAAATTAATACTGTTGTTAATAATAATTTCATTATCTTTATTTCTAGGTGGAGATTTTCATTCATTATTTTTCTGTTGTTGTCTATGTATGTGATGTTTTATTCACCTTTCACTTTCACCAACATCGACAACAATAATAATAACAAATTTGGCCAATCAAAATAATAATAATAATAAATTCTCGTACATCATCATTATCAGCATTCAACAACAACAACAACAACAACAACAACACCTACAATAATAATTTTATCGATCAAAGTATGTATACAAATAATTTTTTGATTAAAACATTTACATTTTTACACGATTCATATGTTTTTTTTATAAATGAAATATGACAGGTGATATGCGTGTGCATCAGGTCAAATCACTATGACCACTAGCAGTTAGTTTTCTTCTTTTTTTTTCTTACATAATGTTTGGTTGTATGGTTCATTTCAATAAGATCGATAAGAATGTTGTTTGCCATTCGACAATTTAGTTAATCAATCGGAAATTCATGATGTTATCTATTTTTTGCTTCCGACTAATTGTGTTTATCGATTCTAAAAAAAATTCTAAAAAATTAATTTGATGCCGGTTAATTATTATTATGATCATCTTATATGGCAAATTGCTTTCAAAATTGTAAACCAAATGATCGTTATGAATTTATTAGTCTAGTTTTTCTGTTGTTGCAGTTGTTGTTCTACTGTATTATTTGCATAATTGTAAAACTATCTTGTTTTTCGAATTGAAGACGATCTTAATCTTCAATAAACATTATCAGAAAACATGATGCTTGCAATTATTAATTGGCCTCTTTCCACTCTCTTTTTTTTCGGGTGAAATGATGACCAAATTTAGTTAGTTTATCTTATATTACGAATGTCTGATTTTTTCTGATTTTTGCTTTCATTGCTGATATGTTGAATATTTAGAACCGGAATACACACACACAACAAAAACTAATTGCTTACCTTATTTTTTCTCAATTCAAATTTTCAACAAACAAAAAAATTGTTGTATCCGCATTTTGTGGGTTTCGATTTTTTTTCTGTTGTGGCATTAGATTCATTCAAAACACTTGTTTCGATATCTCGATGCTATGCAAACTATGATTTTTTCTTTCGTTGATTGTTATGTCGAACAAATTTTTCTTTACTTATCGTATTCACTCGGTATTAGCATCATTTTTTGGTCTACCTAACTTTTTTTTCACTGGAAATGAAAATTTGCATATGTGTATGAGTGTATTGAACATTATAAATAAAAAAAAAATTGTAAAGAAGATATCTATTTCTGTGTGTGTGCCATGATGATGATGATGATCCTATTGTGTGTATCATTTACTCATTATTATTATGATTTCAATATTTGAAGGTTGAATTATGGTTTTAGAGAATTTAAAAAAAAAGATGTGTGTTTCTTTTCGTTGTTTGTTTGTTTGATAATATCACTCAACTCACAAAGCCTGTCATTTGTCTCTAATAATAACAATAAAATGATGATCTTTTGGGCTAATCTATAGCTCGAATGAACTTTGCCCAACTTTTTTGTATTCATTTATTTATCATTCTTAATATTACATTTATTTGTATTTTTCAACTAAATAAGGGGTGTGTATGCATATTTATTGAAATTCATCAACAAACAGTACAAATTTCTTTTTTTGGCTGGATACAAATTTATTCACCAAATTTACTAATGATGTTGATGGCATTTGCAAAAAAAAAAGAAATATTCATTCATCATCATCATTTTTGTAAACGTTTTTTTTCCTATTTTACCTAAAGATTTTTATCATCATCATCATCATTATAATGATAAAATTGAATGATTTTTTCTTCTCAAAAAAAATGATAATGGTTTCATCCAAATCCAATCATAATCACAGATTATTTTACCCGAAAAAATAAAGTTCAAAAGAACAACTCTTTCTCAAAAAAAAGTCTTAGTGAAACAAATAATCATCAAACGAATAAGAAAACATCATCATTGAAAATCCTTTGAAATCATTATCACTGTGGCTTATAAATTGTTTGTTTGATTGTTGATTTATGAGAAAATTTTTTCTTCTTCTTTTTTCACTACTCTTATGTATCATTGCTGTCAAATGCCGAATACGAAATCTCTTATTATTGTCTATAGACAAATAATACATTTCGTATTTGTATTTTCGGGGTCGATCAAAAATCCGATACATTCATTTCAAATATATTTTTTTATTTTTTGTTGAAAAATATTTATTGCCTTTTTTTCTGGCTTCAACTTATTTTCTTTTTCTTTTCTTTGATCGGTTGATATTTATTAGGGGATATAATATATTTTTAACGTTTTTTTTTGGTCAGTTTATTTCATTTGATTAATATACAGACAATATATATTTACACACACACAAACGAATGCATTACTTGCTGAACATCTCAATCTCACAAATAAAGAATGAAAAAAAATCCATTCGAATTGATGATGATGATTTTGCTGTGATTGTCCGATCATTCTGTTTGTTTGTTTATTGAATGACCCAGAAAGTATAGACTGCAAAAGAAAAAATCTAAAATCAAAAAAAAAATAAATAAATAAACAAACGTAAATGGTATTGAAAAGAGAGAAAAAGAAATTTATTATTTATATACGATCAAATAACGAACATTGATCAAATACATGAGAAGAAGCGCCAAATACACACATAACTTATATATTTTGCTGGTTACACAATTTGATAATAAGTAGCTATAGTGATTATTATTTTTTTATATATGTTGGAATTTGCGGCGAATCTAATATATATCCTTAAAATGAAAAGATTTTTTATTTTTTATTTTCATCGTATTTCATCTCATTTTCCCAATATATAAAAAAGCTGACTCAGTCACTCATTCGATTGAGTGAATGAGTGAATAGTCTTTCAACAACAATTTTGGAATTGCATTATTATTTTATATATGGAAGTTAACATGACGAAAAAAACATTGAAAAAAAAAACAAAAAAATAATTTATTCCAAGTCCTAGTGTCCATTTTCATTACTTTTACTTTATCATTCGGATGTTTCATCTTGTTTACTTGAATTTCGAACCAAAAAAAAATATTTTGTACAGCATTAGCATTCCAAGAAAAAAAGCAAAATTCTCATCTTAGCAAACATTGGAAAAAAATGAAATCATTATAAGATCAGATTTATTTATTTATATTATTTCTTACCATCCATCCATTCATTCCATTTCCCGTTGTCAATTCGAACACTTTTTTTCATTTTACTGATGATTTGTTGTTGTTGTTGTTGAATTACCCATACATTTTCAAACAGAAATTCAGAATTCTCTTTTTTTCTTTGATATTTCTAAACAAACAAAAAAGCAAAAAATAAATATTATTAATGAAATATTGAATCTAATGATGTCATTAAATTCATTAGCATTCCAATTTTTCTGAAAAAATGAAAGAAAATTCTGCTTTTTTTTGTTGTGAAAAATATCGATCGAAAAACAAAAACTGGAACCATTTTCAAATTCCTTTTTGATGAAGATGATTAAAGGGAAAGAGACAAAAAAAAATCCATTCAAATTGTCATCATCATCATCATTATAAACATTTGTCACCGAAAATATTCAATCGTTTTGTTTTTTGTTTCTACCAGAAATCATCAAGTTTGATACATTTTTTTGTTGGAAAATTCTAATTGATAATAATGATGATGATTGTTTAGGATTTTTTTCTGGCTAAAGATTGATCCAGATAATAGTTTTTTGTTTTTCATTTTTACATTATTTCATTATCATTTTTTGCATTCTGTTAATGTTGTTGTTATAAAATTGGATTGAAACAAATTGAATTTGAATGATTCTAATGTAAAATGAATAGAATTGTTCGATTGGGAATTGGAAAAAAAATAAAGATCATTAGTAGAATCAAATTGCTTTCTCTCGTCTATAGTGACCAATATATGATGATGATGATGATGATGATCAAACAATCTTTAATACAGCAAGATGGTGCCAAAACAACAAAAATGTTGATAACATCGTTTCCGACGCTCCCTTTCATTTTTCTTTGAAAAACCAAATGCGATAAAAAAAAGAGGAAATCGTTATCGGAACTTGATGATGATACGTTGCATCAACGTAAAAACGTTTGGTTTTATTTATCAAATAAGTTTTTTGTATATTGAATGAATGAAATGTACATAAAGTCATTTGTTCATATTGATGATAGAATGATTTTGTACCATTCATTCATCAACATATAAGATATTGACGATGAATGATAGAAAAAAAATTTCAATAATGATGATTATGATGAAAATCAAATTGCAAAATGTTTGTATTGAAATGGAAAATTTTTACAATTTCAAATAACGTTAAAAACGTGCACAAAATAATACAAACAAACAAACAATAGTACAGTTGGTTAACATTATTATTATTATTCTGTGAATCAGGCGGTGAAAAAAAGTCTTGATAGATTCATAAAGCTAAATTTTCATCTTTATTCTTTTTTTTGTACTGATCTCGTTTCAATACTGTTATGAAAGAAAAGAAAGCAAATTTGAAAATTTTCCCGAGTAAATTTACACTGTACTTCGATAGATATGCGAAAGATAATAGAATTATCGTTGTTCATTTTATTCTACATTTTTTTTCCAGTCTTTCCATAATCATCATCTGTATTCTTAACAAACGACTTTCAATTTTGTTCCATTTCTTTTTCTGCCTTTAGAATGAAAAAAATGTGGCGCCCATGTGTGTGTGGATACATGTGCATCCATGTTTATTATTATTATCAAAAATTGTCCTCAACGTTATTATTATTATCATTTTTTTTTGCTTATTGTCATTGTTGTTGTTGTTGTTGTTGTTGAAAGTCAACAAGAAGAAGAAAGGAAAAAAACTATGTAGGAATTTTTGAAAATTGAAAATTAAAATTTATGTAAATTAAGATCAATTTTCATTCTTTGCATTTGGCTACATTGTGATCCACTATACTAACTTTGAATTCGTAGTTTCCTTTATGTTTTTTTTCGGAGAAACAAATATAAACAAATGATAATCGTATTCGTGAAAATTCAAATTTCTTTCTATCTTCACGTTTCATAAAACCAACCATTTCAATTTGATTTTTGTTTTCAACTTTATTTCCTGAAATTGTTCTGTTTGTCATCCTTTTTCATTGATTATTGAATTTTCACTTAAAAAATGAATCGATTTTTTTCTTCTTCTTCTTCTTATTTGACTTTTCTTTCCAAAGTAAATCAA